TGGTTTTGGAGTTAACAAAACTCCTGGGCTCAGTGTGGGAAAAGGAACAGGATCCAACTGAATGGTGTGAATCGGTGATCATACCAATTTACAAGAAAGGTGATAGATCCTCCTGTGAAACCCAGAGGAATTAGTTTAATCAATATTGCATCTAAACTTCTCGCTGGCATCATACTCCGTCGATTGTCTGCCGCACGTGAACAGTGCACGCGTGAGAACCAGGCTGGTTTTAGACCCGGTAGAGGCTGTATTGACCATATCTTCACACTCCGTTAAATTCTAGAACGTAGACCCTCCTTTCGTAGGCCCACCATTCCTATCTTCCTCGATCTAAAAGCGGCTTTCGACTCAGTGTACCGCTCTAAACTCTGGCGCTGCCTATTCCTGAATGGAACCCTCGAGAAGTTAATTGTAATATTACAATTGATTTATACTAATAATCGCAGCCGAGTCNCCAGCCTACGGCACTTTTTCACCCGAGTTCAGCACGGAAAGTGGTGTACAACAGGGTTGCCTTCTCTTCCCGTCTCTATTTAACCTCGTGATAGATTCGATTCTTGAAACAGCCCTATCGATTTACTCCCAGGTGGCAGACTGTCTGATCTAGAGTATGCAGATGACATTATGCTACTAAGTGAAGATCCAGGTAAGTTGCAAGCTTTTTTGGACAGCTTGAATGCCAGTGTAACGATGTTCGGTATGCGTTTTGCACCTTCAAAGTGCAAAATGATACTACAAGACTGAGTCGGTCCAGCACTCGATCTCACCCTCATTGAGGAAGTAGACAAATTTTGCTATCTGGACAGCTATATCTCAACTGGCGGATGCATCACAGATGAAGTATCGGCGCGGATACAAAAGGCTCGGTTGGCATTTGCCAACTTGAAACATCTGTGGTGCCGTCACGACATCCGCCTGTCTGTGAAGGGTAGAGTGTATGCTGCAGCAGACCGGCGCACGAAAGTGCATGGTTAATGGTTGTTAAACTGAACTGAACTGAATCTAGCCCGACTTACGTGACCGCGTCTCCTGGTAAGGGTTTTGATACCCTCGTGCCAGGTCTTAGTTTGGCCACCCCTTGCCTTATTCCACCCATAACTTGCCTCGGCAAACGTCGTGCGCCGTGGCTATTTGGAGACATGCGTAACACGCCCTAAAATGGTCCATCACTTTATCCAATGGGTGACCGCGGTTCCCTAAAACTCTGCGCATAACCTCAGCATTTCTAGCTCGGTTACCTCACCAGATTCGTACAATGCTGCGTAGACAGCGGTACTCGAACGCTGATAGTCTACCTTAGTCCCGTTTTCATAATGGCCGAGTCTCTACACCACACAGCAGACCTGGACGAATTGTTGCAGCATACAATTGAACCTTCATGGACAGTCGGATATCGGGACGGCGCAACAGATGTTTCAGGTTGACAGACGCCAATCGAGCCTTACATATGCGAGCTGACACTTCATCCGCGATACATCCACCAGAAGCGATAGAGCTGACCAAATAACAAAACTTATCTACTCGTGCTATTACTTTCTCGGTTAGAGTGAAACTGGGAATTGTACCCACCCAGTCTTGTAGTAACACTTTGCACTTTGAAGGTGCACACTGAACATGGTCGCAATAGCACTGAAATCAGCCAGAGACTTGCAACCTACCCGGATCTTTACTTGACAGTACAATGTTGTCTGCATACTCCAGGTCGGATAGTCTGTCACTCGGAAGCAAATCGATGCCACTATCTTAGCACGAGGATAGGGCTATTTCCATAATCAAATCATTGATAAAGTTAAATAGAAAAGCAGAGACGGCGAACGCAACCTCGACAGCTACCACTTTCCGTGGTGAACTTCGGTGAAAAAGTGCCGTAAGCCCAGATTCGGTTTCGGTTATTAGTATAAAGGGATGGATCGGTTAGAAGAGGTTCTAACGTTGTCCGTGGGAAGTTCAGTTCGTCTTCACCCCAAAGCGGGCAACAATTTTCGTTTGGAAGCTCACGGATTGCATAAATTATGCAGCCCTGGTCCGGATGTGAAGAATTTGCTTTGGTGGCACTCAAATCTCTTGGCGGGCGTTTCATCCAGCATATGAACACGCTCTTGCCCTCGAATTGTGACTTGGATTGATTTGGAAAAGCTGGAGGGTGTTGATGCAGCAGACCATAGTTTGCGGTGTGTGTATGGAGGGAGAGATTTTTACAGGACCATAATAATAATAATAATAAATGTTCACATGCGAACTTTAGTGATATGTGTGCTTCATTCAAATAAACAGAAATCTATCAGTTGAACTGTTTCGGAGCTCACCAAAGCAGAAGTAAAATTGCTATTCACAGGATTCAGGAAGTCGGACTGTGGCGTCGTATACAGTCCCCCAACACTAAAACACAACTCACCTGTGTCCCGGTAATCTCCATGTGCAGATGAGTGAGGCCGTTCGCGATGGACGCGACCGCACGAACCAAAGCGATCGGTAGAAAGCAATGCTCGTGGAGAAAATCGAACAGTGAACCCAATGGATGATACTCGGTGATGAGCCAAAGCTCAGTGGCCAAACCGTTATCTTTGTTGTCGGCCGCTATAAAACCCAATATGTTTGCGTGACGGAGCATCACTGTCTGGTAGATTTGAGTTTCTCTGAAATACGGGTCAGAGCCATAGGGAGAGAAGAGGAACGCGTTTAAGCAGGCGAACAGAAATACAATCTTTCTTTCCAGTGACTTTCACTGAAAGAAAAACAAAAGAAACTCAAACTATTGTCTACAAATGTTCTTTTATTAGTGAACTGTCTGGTTCAGAAATGAATATCAAAAACCTGTTTTCTGTCTGTAGTTCATTAATCCTTTAAAAGTGTGCGTGTGTGTGAAAAACGGCGCAATGAGTATGAATAAGGAAAACAGCTTGAGAGAGAATAATAAAATCAAGATCAACCTTTTTGTTTGTTTCACTGAAAATCTAGTTCGCAGATATTCTATCTAATAATCGTCAGCGTTGGATGGCAAATCAGAGAGTTAGTTCAGTTCAGATAGCCCATTGGATAATTTACCGTGAAAACGAACCACGCGGATGAGAATGATGTGGGCTAATTTACTATTGTTTTTACTGTGATAGCTTGGTGTCACACCAAGCCTGGCTTGTGCGAGTAAAGCACATATGACTGTCACACGGTTTCACAATGCTCGTCTCGTCCCGCCCCCACCATCCTGATATCAATGCCTATATCAAGTGCATCAGTGGAACCGAAAGCCCTGCGATCGCTCAAAAAATCCAATTTGACTAACCTTCATTCCAAAATTAGACACTCGCAAAATAGATGTACAACAATTTAGATTTGGGTAGAACCGATCTCACAGAAAACAGATATATTTTATTGATAATAGGGTTAAATAAGGCTGACGTTGAATCAGACGTAGCACGCTTATCACTGTGACAAACTTTCAACCAGCCCATCCACCCCCGTCAAACGGAAACTTTGAGTTCACAAAGTGTTGCCACAATCCCTTGTTTATGAACTTCACCTATACAAAGACCTGCCATCGTTTAACTCGGAAAAACAGCAATCCTACAGGGCCTCGAGCGATACACTCCTTGACGTTCAGGTATGGTCCTTTATCCGAGAATCACTATGCAGTGTGGATATGATTGGGGTGAAATGTTAAACATAACTTGGTTCCACGCACTGATGGATGGTTTACCGCATGAAGCATGCGACTGATTGAAGATGAGAAGACCAAGGAACCTTACTGGCTGGCTATGGATTACGTTACTACTCATTCAGACCAGAAAAAACAGTCAGCCAACTGAAGGTGAAGTGCGCAAAACCTTGCTGCACATCAAACAGAAAACAATCACTTTGGGATTGTTTAATCGCAGAGACGTTGATGAGAAAACGATCCACCATGGATGGATGGGCGACATGTGTTTGGAACGGGAGCAAACGCTTCAACCAAGACCGCATCACAAGTCTCTTGGGGACGATTGATTGGGTGTAGGCGGAACCAATGGTGGAATTTTGTTTACGAGTTTGCCGGTACAGCATTCCGGTGTGCGTATCTGTGTAACCGCGCATCCGGTTAGCCTAATTTGTGGACGCGATGTCGGTGAGCGATCTGTGCTGTGCTGTGCTGCAATGACCGTGCTGTTTACGACGTACCAAGATACCAGAGCGCACGCAATGGAGTGAGCGGTTGAATGCGGGGAAGACATTGTGAATGTCGCTCACACAATCGTGCTTTCTCTCGCTCACACACACACACACACACACACACACACACTGCATACTGAGGATCGCGCGAGAGTTACGGTGCATTTGCACACCCACCCACCCACACACTGGCGCTTACGATCGGGAGTGAATTGTGGTATGTTGTTCTGTAAAGCGAAAGACATTTGGCGATTGTTCGGGTGGAGTTACGCGAATACGGACCAATATTTTACCGGTATCCAGTTCACCCATAACAGCTTGGATACCGAATGTGTTGACAACCGACGGAGGACCAAGAAGGTGAGGACAAATAAGTTACTGCCTGTCAGTAAATTTCGCCTGAGCTGAAGGAATGCATACAGTCGAGCAAGTACAGTCCATAGGCACGTGACGATACCAGAGTCGTGTGACGAACAGGACGAGAGGAAAGGTAGGATGGGCCTTAATATTCAAAGATTTGGATTTGTCCATCCAACAACAACAACAACCGCAAGTATGCTTTACCACGAGATTAAAATGAAGAGTTTTGCGGTACAGTAGGGGATAGTTGTGAAAGACCGAAAGTAGCCCATAAATTTATTGATTTTGAATCAGCTTCAGTGTGTACAACTATTAACCATACATTTTCCTTCGCCTATTTTGGTTGCTGAAGGAGTAGAGGAAAAATTGGAACGTTGAAAGTAGAGACAAAAAGAAAATAGAGAAGTTCAGTCGACTGAGGTTGCAAAGAAACTGAGTAGATACACGAGCGCCACTGTTTACGATACTCAACCATATCACTCAGTATCTCTAACCATTGACTATAGTTATCACGAGGTCCCCATCTAGCGCGACCTATGTGACCGCGTCTCCTGGTTAGAGTTTTGATACCCTCATGCCACGTGTGAATTTGAGCACCCTTGGCTCTTTCCACCCACTATTTACTTCGGCAAACATCGCGCGTTGTGGCAATCTATCTGGTGACATGCGTAACACATGAATAGTGTAAGGGGTTGTTTTGGAAAGTGCACAGCAAAGTTTAATAAGAATGGTTGCTCCCAGGCATTGTGGACTGTTGCAATCAGGTGCAAAAATAATGCCAGTTTCTTCACAGATTAACTGGTTTTATCATCTGGATTTAGCACCACTGTTCTTGAGCATTACGCCACACTAGTTTGGCAGACTTTATGGTTGACAAATCAGAGCAGATGTTCATTTTTCACGGAAGTGTTGCACTCATTAATGTGCACAGGTAAAACACCGTTTACTACCGACAATGAACGGCGCGAGCAAGCATACTGGACTGAGTGGGACACATTATTCCAGAATACCAGAATAACAACAAAACAGTGTGTGTGTGTGTGTGTCTTTACATGGGAACGAAAAATGGGCAGAGATGTTTTACTCCATTGCTATTGGCCCAAATGGAAGGAACAATCTACTTATGCATCACACAATACACTACTGAGGAGCACAACCAATTCTAACCGTCAGTCTTCTGTCTGGTGTAATCTTGCAAATGTGTGAACGGCTCAAACGAGCGCGCGCGCGCACACACACACACACGCACCAACTGACCCGAGACACAGAGTGAAACTAGAGGATAAGATTTGATCTGAAATTTAGAAAAAAATAGTGTAGTGAGGCCAATGTGGGTGTTGTATGTGCATTTCAGAGATACGGTATGAGATCGCAGTAAAGATTTTCAAGGGTCCCAGCAAAAGTAGTCTGGCCTTGAATAGGTCGGTGTATGAAAATTGAGCGCTGGAAGGTAAAATTTACACTGTTTCCCCCTTTTTGAGCCACAAAATCTTGTGGACTTTTCGGCGTTCCAGATCAATTAAAAGTCGAAGTTTTTTCTTGAAATAATACGCTCATTACTTTACAGTTAGATACATGTTCCTAATATGAATACAAAATTAGAAAATAGGTCATATTCTAGTTAGCACAAAGGGCTTAGTTGGTGAATAATATATATCTATTTCATACACGTCTGAGGCCA